TCCTGCTGTTCAGTGAGAGAAATTGTCATTCCATGCCTACTATTTGACCTGCCTATTGAAAGAAATTTAGGAATTTTTTAGGAATGTGTAATAACTTGCAGACATGGAGTATGTGCAGTTTCATGAAGAGAATTGAGTGTTATTGTTCAATGTTATACTTTACTGGTGTTTACCTTCATTTCTTCAGTTTTCCTGTATCCTGCAGGTATTTTCCATGGAATTCTTTCTCCACAGTTAAGCAAAGACAGTTCATGACAGGCCTCCGTAAAAAAACCTATATCTGTGAGTACTTTAATCTGTGAAAAAATAACATAGCCTTTGATTTGAATATTTTTCAGTTATTCTTTTTACTCAAAATAAAATGTATTCAAAGGTAATTTTCAAGTAGATTTGGCTACTGGAATAGTACATTAATGGAGAATGTTCTTCAATGGAAAGAAATCTTTTACATTTTATAGCAAACAAGTGAAATCTCAAAGATGTGTCTTCCACTTTTAAAAACAAAAATAATAAAAAAAAACCCAAACCAAACAAAACAAACAAAAAACCCACAAAAACCAAAAATATATTCTTCACAAACTCGCTCCTGGCAAAGGAAAAGAACTTAATTCATCTTGCTAGAGCTTTGACTGTCAGTCCAAGACCAGCCCCTTATCAAAATCTGTTTCATAGATTTTACTCATCTTAGTCTCGTAGTACTCAGCTACTCTCCCTAACCCTTATCAGCATTTCCTGAAGATATCTAAAATCAATAATTCTTCGACTCTTATTACAAGTTAGGTTCCTTTAAAAAAAAAAACCAAGGGATTAAAAAAACCCAAACCAAAACCAACAAGCCAACATTAGTGACATGACAAAAGTCTGTTCCTAGAATTCTGACAACCTGGTTCCACCATTATACTGACAACCAATCCAGAAGTGAACATTGTGAACAAAAAATCATTTATGTTTTGCACTTAAGAAAACATTTAAAAGAACGGTGGAACAAGACAAAAAATACCAACTAAAAAGTTTGGATCTAAGAGGGAAAATCTTATGATCATATCTTTAAAGAGAATGCTTGTTAAATGGAGAGTAGAAAGAAATGATGGAAGTACTTAGTCTCTGTAGGACATTAAGAGTAAAACTCCATAAATAACTCTAGAGCCTACTAAAATTCAGAATATAAATAATAATTGCATTTAGAAAGTAGTCTTATTCTACAATCTGTTGTGCTAAGAAACACTAAGCAACAGCTGAACTTTAAAGCATTACTTTTCATAATAGTGATATATGAATATTAAATCGACTACATTTAACAAAGAAATAAATGAAAAGTTTATTTGAAATACAATGTGATGTGATGTGATAAAAAGAAAGTTTGTTTGATTACCTTGAAGATTCTTCCTTCAATACATTTAGCTGGGTCCTTACAAATCTCAGAAACAATGTATTGGTATAATGTGAACAATGGTAAAATCTGTAGGAAAATATTAGGTCATCTAATTATAAATGTCATAAAGGATACAATTATAGAAATGTACATTGCAATTATATATCACAAATATATAGATAATACAGGAGTACTGCTTTCACTGCCACATACCACCACTACTTCTTTTACGCTCTACAAAGGATGAATGTGTTAAAAAGTTCTTCAGCTGGCTAAAGCTAACCCCTTATACTATCTTATACGTGATTCACAATGTAGAAAGTGAAGTTTACCCAAATTATTCTCTGTGTTCAAGGTGGGCTTTTTTACTATACCATTAGTGAGTAAACCTACTGGAAAGATGTTGATATAAGGGATTTCTAAAACTCTGCATTTTGATGCCATAATTTTTTCAGTATAAGAAACAGAATAATAGAATTCTGTAAGCTTTATAAAATCAACACAATTAAGTCCTGCAACTGTCTAAGTTGCCAATGGTAAAATAAATTATGCCAATAGTAAAATAAATGATACCAATGGTAAAATAAACTGGATAGTGATGAGACAAATTGCTTATTGACAAATTTATTTGCATTCATTTCAAATTGAAAGTTTTCGTAGGGGCAACTAACAAAAAACATTTTAAAACTGAGTTCTAGTAAAGTATACAAACATTGTATTTATTATAATATCTCAAAAAAAAGCAGATTCTTTCCTAACAGATGTATTTGTTTACTGAAAATGAAAAAGCTTCCAAAATTTAATTACTGTTCAGCTTTTACATTTTTCTTCGCTTTAAAATGTCCCCAAGCTTGGAAAACGCTAACAGCATTGTTACTTTTTTATCAAATGCACTTTTAGTTTTCATAAAGCAGCTTAATACTTCTGAATTTGGATTAAAAATGCTTGAGGCAAATGTTTTAATTGTATCCATACAGTTTCCAACTGATATTTGAAGTAGTTTAACAAAATTAGTCTTTGAAGTCTCATTTTTAATAAAACTTGAATCTTGATGTATTTTGATTTAAGTGTCAAATCAACTTAGTGCCCACCATCCAAAACATTCCCACACATTACGCATTCAGTGGAAATGAAGCTCTCATCCTGCTGAAACTGCAATTGCTTTGACCATGATCTATGACCCGGGTCTATATTCTGCTAGTACAAGTACAGAAAGAATCAAAAATGCGTATGGCCACGTGAAGTAAGCAGTCAAATTAAGTGTCCCTGCTTCAAGGTAACTGTCTGCTCCTTGACCTCACTTGATCTCCCATAGTGAGGGCAGTTAGACAAAGCTTAATTACAGTGAACTCCAGTAAAGCAGGATGGGAAGAAGCACTAACAGGAGGTAAGACAGACACTTAGCCTGAAGTTCTGGAAGAAATCAATCCAACAAACGGCTTGCTGACAAAAAAGGGATAACATCTTGCTGCCTCCTCCTCTCTCACACTTCTTCCATCTCTACCCCCTAACCTTTTCTTACTCCCCTGCCACCAGCCACGCGATCTTTTCCCCTATTGTGCACCAGCTCTGCCACTTGCAGGCCCTTCCCTTAAGTGGATTCAACTCATTAAAGCAGGAGAAAACCATCTACTTTTTCTGCTGGGGAGTTTTCTGTCATGCTGACAATTGATTTATAGAGGTATACAATAATCCTCTGACATGAAAATCTGTTAGAGCATACAGGACCAAACAGGAACAGAGGTAGAATTGCACCTTTTTCAGTGCTAGTAGGCAATTCAATCTACTTATTCCAATGTACAGCACTGCACCTTTGAAAGAAGTTGGATTAAAGTGGAAGTGGTCAGTCATTAAGTGGAGGAAATAACCACATGATCAACATAAGAGGGAAGCTGTAAAAACACTCCATACAGAGGAATAAGAGAACTTGAGAAGGAGAAAGGCAGAAGGGACTTTTATTTACTGAATGTGAAAGTAAAATTATTGAAAGCATTCTAGACATACTGCATTTAAAGTATTTCTCAGTACATTGTATTTCAAACTGTATATAATGGGAAATTTCCTCTAAAATGCCTAAGCTGAGTGGACTATGTATTGCCATCTTCCTGAATAAACAAATACCCTGTATATTCTAAAAATTGTAGGCATCAAGCTATACCTTGCCTCTATCTCAGTGCCACAGAACTTAACCATACAGGTATTTTGCTAGAGCTTCACACAAAAAAATAAAACTTGATGTCTTAAAATTCATTTCCAGAGTATAAAAATAATACTTACTGTTAAATTTTGTTTTGCACAATGTAGTTCAAACATAAGGAAATTCAGACTTGCAACTACAGTAGAGATATCAGCTCTGTAGCGATCTGAGAACAAGTCGATACCAGGAATAAGCATATTTGTTTCATACTGTGCAAAGTCACAGTCAGATGTTGGATGTGGAAGAGAAGCTCTAAACAGGGTCTGAAAATAATAATAATTAACTACTTGTGAAAAGATGTAGAGGCATTAGTGAAACACTATAAAGCTCCAACCTTTGAGACTCATAAATGACTTAATAAATGAAATTCAGTCAGTGTCTTAAGTATCCAGTTGTTTCCAGACAAAACCATGAAAAATCTTTTTAGAAAAAATGCTTTATGTATGAACTTGATGGAGAAAAAAAAAACCAAACAAACAGGCTGTAAATAGTCTAAGGACAGTATTTCACAGAACAAGCAAAAGAGAAAAACTAATCTAGGTGTAGAAAAATAATCGTGAAGGATTCCTCAGCAAGTACTCCCCAAGTAATGAAAAATCTTCCTAAAGAGCCAATGGCATTTCTCTCAGATTCCAAGTCAAAGTATCCCAAATAAATCTCTGGAAGCACAGAAAAAAAACCTAATAAATCACTAGGGGTTCTCACAAAGACTTCTTAGATAATTCTTAGGATAAGCCTCTAATCAGCAGACAGAAAGAACTTAATAATTTATTCAAACATCTCCATAATCAAGGAAAATGCATAGGAAAAGTTTGTTGAGATGATTCTGGGGATGTGTTCAAACATTTCTTTACCAGTCTGAAGATGCTTTATGGAAAATGTCTTCCATTAGAAGAAAAATATTTTTATTTTTGCCACAAGCTAAGAAAACTTGTTTGATTTTACTTAGCCTTAAATCCTTGCCCTGCCATCAGCTCAGCCATTGTTTCTGGGAGAGTTGCTGACTTTAAGGCCAGTTAAAAGCTAGTTCCAGCCTAGTTCCGCCTTTAACTAGGTCAGCTAGTGCAGCTTAAATCATATAACTTACAACTGATATGAACTTGAAGGAAATAACTTAAATGTTTTTCCTTTAAAAAGGGAGGAGTGCTAACATTATCTCTGGTGTTGGATATTCCGTCCTAGTCGCGTTTATCTTGTTGTAACTAGCAATGATATGCTAGAGAAATATGCATTTACATACTCAGATCTGAGATATTAACAAGCTTAAAGCCTATACCAGAGGTGGAATTTAAATAAGGTTATAAAAGCTTTCCAAATCAAGGAACAAATTATGGGCTTGAACTTCGCAAGGTACAGTGACAGTAATTGATTATATTTTTCAAGACACTCACCCTGCAAGCTGCTCCTCTCCCAATTAATATCAAACCCACTTCAGTCAAGCCACAATTATTTCTACCATTATACAACTGGAACAAATGCTTACTACTATTTCTGTCAAAAGGAGGAATCAAAATTGTTCAGCTTTGTATCACCAGCAATTGCAGTGCTAGAAGCTAGTCAAAATTCTCCTTTACCTTTTTTTCTTCAACTTGTTCTCCCTTTGCTAAACTTAATGAGATTTTAAATGTGGCCTAGCACAGGTCACACAGTCACAACCATGGTTGACACAAGATTTTAGAAAGTGGCATTGGTTTGTTTTGGAAGAAGCCAGCTAACTTCCTGATGCTGCACTGGGATGAGTAAGCATTGATCCCAGTGGAGTATGACTGGCAGAATACTTGCAGTTCTTTTTCCTATATCACTTTTGTTACTGGTATCTTAAAACTTCCTTTTAAAAGTAAACTGAAACCTTTTTTTCCTCTATAGTTGGTTTCTGAAAGTTTGCAAACTTAATTTTAATGATCTTATTTTCTTTGTAAATGAAATTGAATCATTTTGACTCTCTTCTAGTTTTAGAGCAAACTTCTTATAGAGCTGAGATTTTAGTATTACAAACCAGTATCTTTCAATGCTAAAAAAGATTCAAAAGTTTCTTTTTCTAAAGAGTTTGTTCTCCTGGTTGAAAATTTATGACAATCTGTGAAGACTCTGTACAGATCTGACAGAGAGTGCTCTGCTATTGTTGATGCCATCCAGCTCTTTCTGAGCAGAACAAGAGAAGAAAAATATATTTGACTGTGAAATCTTTTAGCCATCTTCACTATTCAGTATTTCATTATTTCTCTGAGACACTAGGCTCTTATTGAAGTGATAATTTTTAGGCTATAATACAGGAATAATGTTAAAAAACAGAGAATAAAAACATCTAATCTAATGTGCATAAATTGTCAACTACCTCTGATCTCCAGTTTTCCTTTACAATCAAAATGAAAAGAGAAATATTTTAATAGAGGGTTATTGAGATTTAAATTTTAGAAGCAATTTGTCAACTTCACGAATTCTAACTGAAATTGTATTCTTACCTTAAAAAGTATAGCAGAAAAATAGCAGTATTTAGTTCTTAATCTCATCTTTGATGTTGTTATATGCCTAAAGTACAACAAATAATAAGAAATATGAATGTGCCCATCAGCATAAATTATTCAAACTCTTTTTTTTTATCTAGTATAATACTGATACTAACACAATCTAGATGTTTTGCATATTGGAAAACAGCTGCCTGTTCTGTAGATAGGTGCTCAGCCATGCCATGCAAAGAAAGAAGCATTTGACCAAAGACATACCTAGACAAAGGGAGTTGTCTAGATTCCCTTTAAAGTTAAAGGAGAGAAAACAAGCAATCTAAGTGCAAAATTAATCTCATACAAAACTAGAAAGGTAAAGCAGGTCAAGCAACTCACACCTTAAAGTGTATTTCTTTCCATAAAGGAAGCCTAAGATAACTAGCACATGTGGACTTTCACATGGTAGGTGTCTAGCTAGATTAAATGAATCCCACACAGTACTTCATCAGATCTTTAAACCATCCTGGTAGCGGGGTACCCCTCTGATCTACAATATTGGAAATCTTTAATACAATATTAGAATCCTTTAATCTGCATTTTACAGCCTGAGACAAAGTTGCTCTAGAAAGAGCAACTCAAGGGAAAGATGTTTAACAGCCCAAGTCAGGTCTGAATAGAAAAGATCTGCCTGAGGGAGAAGCCAAGAGGATAGCTCCCTCCAGATCCCTGCCAGGATTTGGAATGGACCTATTAGCAGTAAAGGGATAGTATATAGTGCAGCAAATATGTGCCACAAGCACCTGTAAAAGCAGTTAGGGATTGGGTCTTGCCTAATTGAACCTGAGACTGCTCAGAATTAGAAGAGCTGTGGTTTGGAGTCAGCTTAAACTCACTCCTTTTCCTCTTGGGTGCCAATTCTGAGTGTGGAAATGCTGTTTCATCTTGAAATACCCATGCTAATACTTTCAAAGCTACCTTAGTTTACAAATATTTTACAGTGCTATTGATATGACCTGCTTCTCAGGTAAGACAGTTTACTGAGATGAAGCTCTGCCCTTTCATGGGTATAATGCTTCTAAGGTCATTTAGAGCTGACAGATATTTCTAAATTTTATATTTTGTACACTTTTATATTGTACAATACATTGAGGAACAGCTCAGAATTACATCCGTAGTGTTTTACCAGCAGTCAGGGAGTACTGGACAGAAATATTTATTGATGGTAGACTTTAATACAGTAATTCAAATTTCATTTAGCTGTAATTCACCAGAAAATGAGTACTTTAGGCAGTAAATCTGCCCTCAAGATACATTCATATTTAATATGTGCAATGACTTGGGAGATGTGATATTTCAATTGAAAATCAATATGACTGTAAAATCCTTGTGCTTATGACTTTTTATCATTTTGTTTTATTTCAATGATCTCTCCATATAATATACAGCTGCAATTACGATCAAAGATGAGCACTCAAGAACAGGGAACAAACAATATTCTCCAAAAGAGCAACTTTCGTCCTGAAAGGAAAAATTCCTCTGCTTTTGATGAGTCTTTTTTATAGCAGCTCGTTAGTGTTTTTAAATTAATTTTGAGTTGCTTACTGTCCTGGATGAGCAATTTGTTTAAAATATGAAATACATGCATATATAGATAAAATACTTACTGAGCTATCTTAGCCACTAAGACTGCTGCATGTAAACATCCCCAAACTCCAGCCTGAGAAAGAAATTTCTGACTAATATCAGTCGACCTTCCAACTGCAAAGCAGTCCATAGCATTTTTTGGAAAACCTAACTCTTGCCAGTTGTTAAGAGCATCAGCCATGTTGAGTGTTTCATCAAGGGCTTGACACCAATATTTAAAAGCAGCTCTGTAACACATAAAAAACGTTCTCATCATATTGCTGACATTTTCCAAAGTGGAAGATAAGACTCGCTTCGTTTTACCTTTATTGCCTGAGATAAAACTAATTCTGATTAGGTCAAAAACTGAAATACAGTTTCTACAATACAAAAAGATACCATTCCCAGTCAACAGACTTGTTGGGCCTTATAGTAAAATTAAATTGTCAAAGCAATAGATATCACTTCTTAAAAACACAGAAATGCTTAATTAATTTGCTCAATTGCAATTAGCTAGCTAAGAAAAAAAAAACAATTTCTAGAAGAAAAGCCTCTCAAAATATAGCTAATAGTGAGTTAGATGAAAGAAGTTATATGGACTTGAGGACAGCACAAGAACTTACAAGACAGTTGAAGGGTACATGATTGGGGAAAAAAAAAAAAAAAAAGAAACAATGCTCTTTTTTAGTCCAATAGCTATGTACCTTTTGTTTCCAGCATAAAAGTGAAGATTTCCAAGTTCATGTAAAGCCTGAACCTTGAGGTCTCTCTGGTTGTTTATTTCAAGGATTCCTGTTATTTATTTTTTAATCAATTAGAAAAAAATATTGTCACAGCATTAAATCAGTTACTGAATCTTGAACAAATTTTGCATGAGAAGTAGACATGCATTCACATGTAATTCAATGCATGAATGTTTTTTGAAAGATTTATTGGGCTTGTATATTTTATCTTCAAATGTACAAGTTCTTACTTCTACTAAGTTTAAAAACAAGGGTAGGATGTATTTATGGACCTGTTTACCTAAGCTTTTGTATTTTTGGTTTTTTCAGACCTCTCAAATTTCTTCCTCTTCAAGAGATAAACTGGGAAGCAGGCCATTGGCCCTGGTGAACAACACTGCCTGCACACAGCACAGTAGCACTTGTCCCTGGCTCATTTCTGGATCCCTTACTTCAAATAAAACCACTTAGGGCATCTGTTGACCTGCTACACTTCACCTATTTTGTCATACAGCAAAAACAGGTAGCAGTGCTGAGCTGTAACTCTACGAGTAAAGCCATACTAGAATGTTAAATGGAAGCCAAGCAACTAGGTCTCATATTCAAATGCACGGAATCCAGAAGGTCTGTCTGCTAGAAAAAAAAACAACTATCATGTAATTAAAATTAATCTGCTAAACATTACAGCAGATTTTTAATTTGGGATTAATCAGTATAACACCACTAAAGTAATGCTTTTTCATAGGGTGAGATAACCGTAGAGGTTATGAACCAACTAGTGGTTTGTTTAGAATCTAATGCAGATTTTCTGAATCAACAGAAAGAAGATTATGTATTTCTGGAAAGCAGCCTTCAGACAGTTATAGCTATCTGACAAAGGAAAATAACACTGGAACAAACAGATATGAACACAGATAGGCAGAATAATATTACATCTTAGCTGTAAACAGAACTTTATGAAAAAAAATTACCAATTGTTTGTTCATAGGAAGAGATAATTACTGAAAGTTGTGACTGTGGTATTGGTTTACTTTCAACCATACTGGAGAAATTAAATTTTTCTTGAGAAATGTCACATGGTGTTGGTAGAAATATCAGTTCATCTCCCACATTAAATTCCAGCTTTCTGTTTGAAGAGATATGACTGCTGATTGATCTTCCAGCATTTTCTAGACCAGAAAAGTGATTTATATGATCAGTTTTGAAAAGTATTATACTATTTCCAGCACCACAAATATTTCCAAACCACATTACTTGAACAAATGTAGAGTTCCTGTGTACCCTATTTTTATCTGGTTTCCTATGCTATGATTCTGTCTGTGTGTCTCCTAATTAAACTCATTAGACATAACTCATCGGTCAGTGCAACCAAATGAAAATATGTGCTCTGTTAGAGAAAATAAACTTGGGAAGATTTGCCAGTCAGTCCTCCGACAGGTTTGGCTACAGACAGAGAAGGGACACAGCTGCATGAAAAAAAAATTCATCATCCAACCATGATACACAAATCATAGGAAATCAGGCTTAGAGCTTGTGCTTACAGAACTTCATATATAGCTTTATATTCTATGTTTTTTCTAATTGTCAATAACAACTAAAACTTGAATTTAAAAAAAAAAAAACTATTCCTTTCACTCTTTGCTATTTCAACTGCATATACGCTTAATAAGTGAGAAACACTTCAATAAATAACTCACCTTGTGTGTGTGCAAGAAATAATGAAAGTAGCTTTCTGCTGTGTCTCAGTGCTCTGCTGTGATATTTAGATTTTTGTAGAGTTTCTTTAAAACATTTCAGTGTATCATTCACATCAAGAGGTACATAAACTAGGGCTTTTGCTTGACTGCGATCTAAAAGAAATTAATAATTGTGGAGAACAATTTTCCATTACATAAATATATATTTTTAGTAGATCACCCTGCAAAACCTATGTTTGAAAAATTGCACAAGTTCAAAACTAAAATACATTAATGTAATTGTCACCTTTGTTTCCTGTTGGATTATGAATTAAAGCAAAATTATAAACCACCAGGAACACTTCTGAGCATGTGTATCTTTTTCAGTGTTACATTTTGGTTGTCATGTGACATCTATATTCCCTGAATTCCATCTGCCCTGGGCCTGCCTCAGCTCAGCTCTCTGCTCTGAATTCTGGTGTCTGAAGTCTGGAAACAAATCTTTTACTACAACTGCTGATTCTATTTACTACAATTACTGCAGTTTCTATGTACCAAACCTGTGAGTTGGTATGCTCTCTCCACTGAATGCATAATATTATCTACTCTTCCTACATACAGCATTATTTATTGTTTAATGACTTTCCTCAGCTGAAGTCAACACAAAGCCTTGTGTGCAATGCGTTGACATGTGTGATATGAGGAACTATATGCGTTACAAACTTCCATTAATGACTATAACATTTTAATCCTGACTGAAAAAAACAACTGTGGGTAAAAGAGGTGTTTTTTCACCTTATAGTTCGTTTCAGTTTTTCTATTGATTCTATCGATAACAGCGTAGGTTCACATTAATTTCTGGGTATATTGCTGGATATCCAACGATACAGATGGAAAACTGGTCCAAGACCACCAAGCTCACTCAACATACTGTAGGTCATCTGGCATCTGGATTACAACTGCTTTTCTCTGCTTTCAGATACAGTCCGAATATATTTGGAAAGGTCTTGACAACATTACTATCTCTCCAAATTATCAAGAATAATAATTTGAAGACCAAAATGAGTGTATATTAAAAGAAACAGATTATAGGAGCAGTGGAAGACCTATGATAAGGAGGAAAACAAAAAACATATCCAGTATGAAAAAAAGGAAAGAGTTTGGGAGAAAAGAGAAGTCATGATACTGAAGTGTGCTCTGACCTGTATAATCTTTTTTCATCTCAGGACAGAAAAAGCATCCAGGAAAAATCCATTCACTAGCAGAATGGGCAACAGGCAGCTGTAATTTCTGCCCTATGTAGTTTCTGCAACTCATCTAAAAAGCAAGGGTTTTTTCATGATAATTGAATAATATTCAGAAAAATCAATGTTTGGTGCTTAACTTTAAGTATCTAAATACTCAGTCATATGACAAAGTAAAAGAGGACTAATTTACAAAGACCCATAGTACCCATTACAAAGACCATAGTACCCTTGTCAGTAAGAGATAAAACATTCACAACACCTAAATATTGGATATAACATATAAGCGTTTAGATGTTACAGAATTAAACTTGTATCTTATTTGGTATTTGCCATAACCATGAGCAAGTCGTCGATGTTCAGCAAATATTACACCTTTCTTTGTCTGGATAAATGCATGCTTGCAAAGAACCTGTCAGTGTAAGTATGCCTAACTGCCTGTAAAGCACAACATAATGCTGCATATGGGTATACAAAACAGGTCTAAGCAAATAACAGAAGCAGTCTAACCTGTCAGAGAAGCAAACTTCCAGACTTCTATAAAGGGCTAATCCAGCACAGACATTTTATTTTGCTAATATAGCTACATCACTTCAGAAGCAAAAGAACAAATTTAGAGCTAGTTCTAGACTCTGAATAGCACTGCATTGTGAAATGTAGCCATGCCCTCCAAATTTCTAACTTGATGATGTCTTTTTTAAAAATCCTTATTAACTAACATTAGTCTTTCTTCTGTAAGTTGTCTTTCAAAACTATGATTACTTTTCCACTTTGCTGAGCTTACAGCAGTATGTGGTGGTTTGCCACACTGCCCTTTTTTTAGACAAAAAGGACTGTGTTCTGAATGGCAGGGCCTGAAAGAAGTCAGCAAGAAACAGCCTTACAGAGAGACAAGACAGAGCACCTCAGCTGCCCTTTGCAAGCCAGGAGTGCCTTCTGAGGTCCTGCAAGCCCTGGGCAGCACTGTGCTGTCTCTAGGCAAGGCAGTGGCTCCTGAACCCCATGTTCATCTGCAGAACCAGCCTGTTTGGAATTCCAAACCCCACTTCCCCCCCCCTCCTTCAAGTCCTGTGTTTATATTAGTAATAGAAACATATTAAAAATATCAGCCATGTGATTGACTTCAGCAAAACTTCTTAGAAATAAACCTTCAGTTAAAAAAAAGGAAAAACCTAATTTTTAATAGCTAATTCCACAAAAAAAAAATATTTTTTTTCAATTTTCATGAAAATTTTCAATTTCAATTTCAAGTGGCAATGTCAGTTTACTAAATATATAGAGCCATGGCTTTTACTGAGATGAACTTGCTGAGCAGCTTAGGGTTTTTTGTTGGTGATCAAGTTTTTCAAGTTTTTTATTGGTATTGTCAGTGTTTGGGTTAACTCAATTTGATTAATTTTGGTCTTTAGGAGCAATATTTCAATGCAGAAACAAAGCAGTCTCTTTGTATTTAATGTTAATTAATCACAAAGATTGCACAATATCCAAATAAATCTTTTCAGGTTAAAAGAGCAGCATCAAGAACTAACATGCAATTAGATTTAGGCTCATAATATGGAATGGGTACATTATGCATTGAAGAAATGTTCTCTGGGTCATCAAGTCCAGACCTCTGCTGCTGCTGGAATCATGTCATATAAGCCTTTTCAGGCACTTCAATCAATTATGTACGTTAATTTATTATAATTTATGATTTGGCTACATTATGAAAAACCATATTAATCTAATCAGCGAAAGTACTTCTCTATAGGTAGTTCACATTAAGAATCAGTGCCCAAAAAAGAAATCTGTGGTTCACCTTATGTGCATTATCAGATAGATATTTTATGAAATGAGATTCATGGCTGTCTGGGCCACTGAATTGCTGTATCCTTTCCAGCAGCTGCCTCTGAGCATACACCAGCAGCGGACTCACTTGTTCTGTGTATCTCTCACTGAAAAAAAGCAAAGTATAGTAATTAAACAAAATAACGGTATATTTAACTCTATAATGTTGCTTTTCAGTTTTTATTAGAGTTGGTCTAACTTACTGTGTAAATATGTTGAATTGCACAGCTATGTGTACCAGTGCTTCCCACTTCTTCATTTGATATAACAATTCTATTGTTTTAAGAATCAGATGACATATCCATTTCAAGTCAACCACATTCACATCATCCAAGGGAGACTGTGGATGGAGATTAGAACCACCATTCTCATCCATAATACCTCCTAAACAACTGGGAATGCAGAAGTCTCCTTCAGGATCCACAACCTACAGTAAAGAAACATTATTCTACCTGTTATTTTCAAACTTGTTTTTAGGACAAATCAAATTATAAAAATTAGAAAATACTGTAAGCCTCTAAAAACTTATTACAGAGAATAACTTGGAGATATCAGAATATAATACAAGAGAAAGAAAACTATCTCTACTGAAGATGTGATAATAAAGAGTATACTGTCTTAACAAAAATAATTTTTACCTTAAGAGACCTGCTTGCTTGTAGTTCAGTTATCATATCAATGATCATGTCTGATGCCAAATAAAATGGCAACCAGATGGTGTTCCTAAGAAAACCCCTGGTAATGGGAAATGCATCCGTATGGGAATGTAAATGGTTAGCAATCATCAGTTGTAATTCTTGAGTATAGTTCCAAAGTTCTCGGCAAGCATTTTGAAGCAACGTCCAGTGGCCACCACGGTGAGCAAGAACCTATGCATATCATTCAAAATATAATTATACTTTGGAAATATAGAAATTAAAAGCTTCATTCTTTTATTGCAAAGCTTAGGTATAAGTAATCTTTCAAAATTACAGTCTATGGATCACCCTTAATAACAGATCATTCAATGTTTCAATTCATATAAAGCATTATAGAACCTTAATTTGGAAATTTTCATAGAAACACTCATTTATAATTGAATTTAATTGTTGCTTTTGGTGTGAGAATAAGAAATAAAAATTAATTCACACCACCTATACGTGTGTTTTTACTTGGTTTTAGAAGGGTTTATGGGAAGAGTAGTAAGTCTGCATTTCCTTTCAATCACTGGTCCTTCTCTTTATACTACCGAGGCATTCACTAAGACCTGTAAAGGGAGAGGTAAGTCTGCAAGTATTTTCAGAAAGATTTAACAAAGATGAGAAGGAAAGTTACAAAGACTAAATGAAAAATAAAACATTTATATAAATTATTATATATTTGATAGAAATACATGTTGTGATAGGTGATATGTCTGACATTTCATACACTGTAATTGGACATTTTGCAGAAGGTGAGAAAACATTGCTTTTTCCCACTAAAGTTTCTTTGAAGTTTCTGAAATATGGGCTTTTTAATGTAGAAAGTAGTAAGTACTGTAATGCAATGCTTAGTAATAAATAAAATGTTTAATAAGAAAGTGTATCTTACCACTGCTCTTCTTAAATGCAAAAAGATTTTTGTAAAATGCTCCAGTAAAACAGTATTTGACAGAAACTGGTTGTATTCTTTGGGGGAATGAGACACGGGTATTTCTATATCGTTTGTTGTTTGAGTTTGAGAAGTATCTGTTCCACTCAGTTTAATGCTGTGCTCAGAAGATTTATCTGTATCTGAAGACAAAAAGTTCACTAGTTAAAAATGAGTCAAAGTTCTCAAAAAAAAAAAAAAATATTATCAGCCAGCTAGGATTTTCCTGTGGCAGCTAAATACTTAAATGTTAGGAAATGCCAATATTAAGGTTATCGTATTTATAAGGTTATGATATTTAAAATATAAGGTGCTTTTACTTAAGCATTGGGAGAAGCAGGGATAAAAAAAAAAAGTTTGAGCAAAATAATAATGTGTACCAAATGGTTTTCAGCTTCAAAGCCAAAACACAACCCTCAGAGAAGTTAAGTTTTAGGAAGAAATCACTGTGTGGCAAGCTCCCAAGAACCTTTCTGAAACCGAGGCCTTTTAAAAGGAGAAGTTAAGAAGAAGGGAAGTTTTCTGACAAATACTGTGGTATGTGTAGAATTGCTTCATTATTTTATTCAATACCAAGTATCTTCCAAGGAGAAACACAGAGGTTCATGGTAGTGGGATATAGTAGTATCTGAGCTATAGGTTTCAGGCAGAAGCTAATTTCAAGCTAAACAGTATTTGAACTCTAGGGCAAACTACACACTTCATTCTTTCATTACGAATTGCTGCAAAGGCTAGGAGGTAGTAAACAGGATTTTTATTAGTTTTCAGCAACTTTCACTGACTCAGTTCTCAGTGACTTGTAAGCATCAAGACAAAAGAGTATAACTAAAAGTAAGCTGTTACAATGAGAACCAGTGAATTCAACTGCTAGTTTTTGTCATACCTCCTTGGAAAAGGCAAAGAGGATGGTCAGTTCCTACCTAAGGAACTCCTACATGGAATGATAGGAGAATTTTGCTCTCTACAGCTGTGGCAAGAATGTGTTCCCTGAAGCGCTATTGAAAGACCAGGCTTGTGATTTCTTCTTGAACTTATGGTGGCTAGGCAGACTACTTTGCATTGACTTGTATGTTATCACCACTATCTGAGGTAATCAAAGTCCTATATTTCACAGTTCAGCTCCTGTTGAAACCTCAAAGGATATTATTGCAAATAGCTGGGATAATGGAACAGTCAAATGTGAAAGAAAGAGAATTGAAGTAAAAGGGGTGGAAGATAAAAAACTGATCCTGACGTAGCCTCTGCCACAGGAAAACAATGGGGAGCAAGCAATAGAGAAGGAAACCTAAAATATTCTACTTAAAATTTGAAAGATAATAATAAACTTCAGTTTATAATTTTAAGACTTACAGAATGACCCAGGAAATTATTGACTTGTAAGGAAATCTAAAGGAAACTGCAGACCAATTAACAACCACAGAAACTGATAAAAATTGTCATTTCATTTAGAATAATATGGAATATTATCAATTTAATAGGTCTAGGTAGTGTGGCTTCTGCAAACCAAAAGCTAGTATCACTAATATATTAGAATTTATAAACTTGTTACTAAAGTATAGGATAAAGAATAACCACTTGATAAAAAGTAACATATTTACCAATACAATAAACAATGCTCAGAGTTATTATAAATGCCCCATTATTGACTATGACTTATTTTATACTAGGTATGCCAAAAAGAGAAAATACAGAGGACACTTCTGAAATCCAGAAACATCTTCTCTTTAAATTGGCATGAGTGTTTTTCCAAAGGTGATGTGGAGAACTAATGATGGAGGTCAAGATAGAAATTAAGAGAAAGAAAAAGTTACGTTGAAGTTGATCCCAGTTGTGCACCCATTAAAAGTTCTTACAAGTTTGTTTTTCGGTCATTCCGGACTTTTTAAGGAGAGGAGGAGTTGGTGTTCTCATGTTATTCTCTATGGCTTCTCTCACCACTACAGTGCCAGAATTACTTAATGAGAACATCTCAGGATCCAAAATATTGTAACTGCAGAATGGGAGAAAAAAAAAAAAAGAAACACAAAAAAACCCAGATATAATATTACAAAGAATTTTTATGTACACACACAAAATTCAGTTTCTCAAAAGTGAGTTTTGATTACTTTCCAGGAGCTTTAGGAATCAGAAATAACGAATGATAGCCAAAAGTTATAAGGAACCAAAAAATAGCACAGTATAGTATATTTCAAAACTTTCATCTGACCAGTCAAGTGAGCAACCAAAAATGTGCATGTCACCTCCCATATGATGGAAAGCAAAACTTGTTACATAGTAAATCAATTTGCATTTGGAAGTTGAACTGTTCATATGACAAACTGACTGATGATATTGTAATTCAGACCTGTCTGCATTAATGGCAATAACAATAATCTATATTAATAGCAATCACTGAAAATGCAGTAAGATATACCTGTCCAGATGGTGTGAACCACAAATTCCAATGTTATATTGCTCTTCCAGTTTCTTTTTAAATAAGTTGTAGTGTGCAACTGCCAGATAGATATTCATCTGAGACCTCCAGGGCATCTCTTCAAGACACATTTGATGAAACTTCTGTTGGTTTAAGTAATTACTCACAATTGGTTTCAGCAGTACCACTAAGGTGTGATGAGCTACTTTTTGCAACCCTTCCTTGCATTTCCTAAACCAAAATATATGAAGTAGCAAAAAATGAAATTGTGTTTTCTTGAAGCTCTAGAAAAGAAAATCATGGTAAAGATACACAGAAGTATCCCATTGCATATCCACAGACTTTTAGTAACTCAGAAGCATATGACATATTCCTAGCAAAAGGACTCTTGCTGCAGTCAAGAAAAGCAATTGTGCTTTCCCTCTTTAAGAGTGCTTAAGATGCACTAAATCCTATCTTATATTTTACCAACTTCCGTAAGATATTTGTCTTAGTACTTACAAAATGTTTAGCTCTGTGTTTGAAGTTATTTGTACCTGAATCATCCAAACAGATTATTATAGCAGATTATTATTTCACACAGTGTGTTCAGAGATGGAGGGTCTACTATTATACTATAAATTTGGATCATTCTTTTTATTGCTGTGTTTTGGTAGCTAATCATCCTTAATGTGAAGAAAACATTTTATTTCAGATTTGGATGCCTGGCTTTAATTTCCAGCCATAGATCTTTTTTTTTTATGTTTCTCTGCAAGATCAAACAATTCTGTATTACCTGGCACACATACAATGCTGTAGTCAAATCAAATATCATTTTTTCTTTCTTTATAAACTGTAAACTACTCCCTTTATCAATATAAATTATTTTTCTGCCTGTTTTCCACCTTTAAAATGTGGGCAGAACAGTATACCATATACAATGTTGATTACATTATATAGCAATATTATTATGTAAGATATGAAAGAGTAGCAAAATGCCCAGGATAAGTTAAACATCCCCTCTTCCACTGAAAGCCATGAAAATCATGTTAAGTAAGGTGGTGGGGTTTTTTTTCTGTCGAGGAGGAAAAATGGATAGTTTAGGTAAATATTTAGAAGATAGTGTATGGAAGACTTTTTTGAGGTTCTGTATGTAAAACACTTCCAGAATCAGTTATGCGATTGCTTATATTCAGATATTTCTAGTTTTCTACTTGCTAATTGCTGGAAGCATAAGTGACCAAAGCATCAGGTAATAAATACTACAAATTCTTTTAGGTCAGAAGGTACCGTTATTACAGAGTTAACCAAATATTATATAATTAGTTGCCAAAAGAAGAAGTGAATCAATTTTCATTTGTTTTTATCAAGAAACAGGTTTACAAAACCTACAGAACAGACAATCCAAAAAGACTAGCAAAAGGATGACAAAAAACCCTCTGAAACTACCTGAACATCAGGAATGAATAAACATTCTTTATTAGATTCCTATCAGGTAAACTCCCCAACACATTATAGTACACAAATTAACATAGCTTTTCCACCACGATGAATTAACATGCTCAAGCTAACACAACTGAAATACAGTCTTTGATTATTAATACAAACACTTCAAAATCTTCAACAGTTATTCTCTGAAATAGAAATGAGATTTTGTTCTCTTGAGTGGAAGCCAATTTTATACCAAACTAAAACAGAAAAGTGAGTGGACCGTGCACAAATTCATCCCTTTGATAAAAAAAAGTTTTAAAATACACACTTAATTGTAAACTAAATTTCAGTCAAAATATTTTGGTTCTGTATATGAACCTGACAACTTATGTTCATGTACCTTTCTGCTTCTGGAGATTCCATTAGGTTTGGATGTTTCATGAAATACTCTCTAAGAGTCTGTCTTTTTTGACTAGGACTCAAGGCTTCTTTTCTTGGTTTCTTCAAAGTTGATGCCTCTGGTTTCTTTAAAGGTGAAGTCTCCACACTCTTTAACAAAATCTTCCATTAAAATCTTAAATATACTTCAAATACTTATTTATACCTACATTATCAATTACTTGAGGTATACAGCACTTTGGCTTATGCAGGAAGAGAACAAAACAGAAAATAAATTCTGGGACTGTTTGTCAAAAGAAGACAGCAAAAGAAATATTTAATATTCCAGAAAGCTTTACAATTTTTCTGGAAGGTGTATGTCAAATGCCTGACACTAAGAAGCCAGCTAGGTCCCCAAATATTTTCTTTCATATATTGGTGTTTTTCATCTCAAAAACAATGATAGTTCTTTTCCTATTATTATAAATACCAAAACTTTGCAATGCACAAACTGAGACAGAAAACCGTTTCCCTAATCTGTCTCAGATGGTAGCAACATTACTAGAGGGTTATGAGGGAGAAAACTCTTCCTCCAAACCAATACAAATCCATTAAGATTATTCTTACCTTCCAATAAAAGGAAAAAAATATTTTAAAAGAATTCTGAACAAAAAGCCTTTGTTGTGCGATCAGAATATCTGCGCAAGGAGTTAATCATGAACAACTACTCATGAAAAAGTGTAAGTACAACATACTGTACAAAACAGCCTAAACTGATCTCCCTTTTCTTAATGTGATGGTACCCAAGCCATTTCCTACTAACATATTGGGTTTTTTAAAGGGAGCTGAGGAAAGGGAAGTTTTTGTTGATTTTGGGATGCATTACTCCGACTTATCTCAAATTCCTCACAATTACTGGTCTTTCAGATAAATCCCATGACAACTTTTCTTCCTGAGGTGCAAAGGTGAGCTGAGGACTAGAATCTGTATCCCAAATTTTAGTAGTTATGCATGTCTCTAGCTGAGGTTTTTATAAGACAGCTTTTAAAAATTTATTTTTGTGCTTATGGTATTGCTGCCCAGTAAAGACATACATGACTCCTTGTCATGCTTTAACCCCAGCCAGCAGCTAAGCACCACCCAGCCACTTGCTCACTCCCTGCTGCCCGGTGGGATGGGGGAGAGAATTCAAAGAGTAAAAGTGAGAAAACTCATGGGTTGAGATAAAGACAGATTAATAGGCAAAGCAAAAGCCGTGCACACAAGCAAAGCAAAGCAAGGAATTCATTCACTGTTTGCCATCGGCAGGCAGGTGTTCAGCCATCCCCAGGAAGCAGAGCTCCATCACGTGTAATGCTTACTTGGGAAGGCAAAATGCCATCACTCCGAATGTGCCCCGCTTCCTTCTTCTTCCCCCCAGCTTTATATGCTGAGTGTGATGTCATATGGTATGAAATATCCCTTTGGTCAGTTGAGGTCAGCTGTCCCGGCTGTGTCCCCTCCCAACATCTTGTGCACCCCAGCCTACTAGCTGGTGGGGTGGGGTGAGAAGAAGAAAAGGACTTGACTCTGTGTAAGCACTGCTCAGCAGTAACTAAAACATCCCTGTGTTATCAACCCTGTTTTCAGCACAAATCCAAAACATAGCCTCATACTAGCCTCTATGAAGAACATTAACTCTATCCCAGCAAAAATCAGCACACTCCTTAAAAATAATACTCACTTTCTCAAACTCCACAACTCCTATAGTGTATCCATCCGTGCCTTCTGGGAGAGTGGGAGAACTAGTTTCTTGTGTTGAAATTCCATTGATACAGAGAAGGTGGTTGTTCCTCCTGACAAAAAAGTAACATTAAATTCATCACCATCATCATCATCATGTTAAACTCCTTTCATAGTTAAAGGGTTATCTTTGGGAACAGGTAGAGCACATGCTATTCTTATTTCACTGGAAGTTGTAAATTCGGCAGGCTTTCTTTCCTTCTTTCCCTTCAGAAAATAGGAAGTGCTCACTTTCAAGTTTTATTATAGAAATCTGAATTTATAGGTAATAACTATCTCACCTTCCTAACTCCTAGTAAAACAAAACAGTTTGCTTCATTACCCAAATTCTGCTATGGAATTCTGCAAAGAACTTCTTCATGTCCAGTTGTTTTGGTCTTTTGTAACAGCGATTTCTGTTCCCTATAATATATCTCCTTTTAATTGATTATTTGTCTTTCAAATTTTAGAAATATTTGTGTGCATTTTTAACAAAGTTATAGTTAAATTTCTTTGGGATCCTTTTAGGTAAGTGTCTACAATTTGGTTCCGCTTATCTTCTTAGTATAGAAATTTTTTTAGACACTAGCATAGGCCCTGATCAGTTTGCTTTTGATTTAATGCAAATGTACTTTTCTAAGTTATCCCACTGCTTCATAATAATATGGCAAATGACCATATTACCAAGTAGTGTCTGTGAAAAGGAAAATCCTGGAAATTGCTGATGGTAGACAGGAGTTTTGAACAGACACAGCCAAGGGAGAATTTTCCATGTATAATGAGGTCACAATACAATATTTTCTGTAGCTATATAATCCGCTGTGTTCATGGAACTTCTGCAGACTAGAAACCATGGAAATGGCTCCAGATAGGTCTTCTGCCAGGTAGAATTTACAGTTTCTGCTGTAACTGTGACACTGGTGAACCTAAGTAGTAGTTTTTCACTACTGCTATAATAGAGACTTACCTTTTCAAGTAAACTTGCACATTGCCTGCCCATTCCAGAACGCATTGAAACTTCTCTTCATTCAGGATTTTGTGCAAAACTTGAACAAAGAACTCAAGAAAACGTGATTTCTTTCTGAATTTCATCACTGCAATAAAGTAACAAATAATTAACACAGTTTTTGTATTTATGCTGTAACAGGTTTCTGAATTCAGGTATAATTACAGCTATGTATGTTTCAAAGCACATATTTATGTCATGTTGCATGCTGATGAAGAAAAGGCATAATGATACTAAAATCAGATATGTCATGATACACAATAGCAGTTGCTAAATACTTATTCTTGTGACTGGGCATCCAGAATCACAAGTTCACTCTATTTACACTCCTAGAATGACAAGCATTCTAGGGACTGAGAAAACAGGTTTGGAATTATTTTTGTATCATGCAGTACATAGTACAAAAATATTTTATAACAATATTCAACATGCCTAATTGTACACATGCCTGAAAATCAAAAAAAAAACCACAATAAAGCAAGTATAAACAAAGTAACTTGATCCTATTCACTTAGGTTGCTCTTCTCAGTGACAGTCACATTAGTGTACAAGCATCACACGGTTCTCATCGCAGCAACGGAGCTGTGTCGTCTAGATTTTAGGCAGCTTTTTAATTGTTTGCAAACTGCTTTTACTGTTTGGCTGTCTTCATAATCTTTGAGCATCAGGAAATAAATAAGTATTTATCCTATCTGAAAGCTACACTAATTTTACAGGTTAGGTTCCATTGTTATTTTGAACACCAGTATCAAAAAAAAAATAAGGCAGTGGCAAAGGCCACATACCAGAATCTTAAATCCTATTTCAAAAACGCAAGTGTGCTCAGACTTTTGTGAATTCCTCTTTCAGCAGCATAATTTAATGTGGAAATGGGGTATCTCAATTTAAAAAGAAAGAATACTCCACACAAACAGAATCCTTGAAAACTTGACATGACTTTAAAAAAATGAGCTATTAGAAAAGTTATTAGAAAATAAACATTATTCAAATTATTTGAAATATTAATATTTTATATACAATATAAATATATACATTTATATAAATATATATATTTTATATACATCAACATCTAAAATAATTTGTTGCAAGTATTTCATACACTTCTAAATGTGAAGTGTAAATAATATAAATATAAATTAAAAATTATAAAATATAAATAAATATATTAAGACCTTTTCTTAAGTTATGTATATCCACGAACAAAATGAAGAGAAAGTTTCCGAGAGCTTATTCCAAGCAAGAAGTAGATAGCTTTACTGGCAACTTTCTGAAGTAAAGGAGCCTTTACAATTAAAATAAACACCAATTATCCTACCTTCTCGATAAGCACTGTTTGATGTCCAACATGAAATTACAGGGTAGAGGAACAAAGGATCTTCCTGTCCTGTAAGCTCTGATCCACGAGCTGCATCAATAACCAAATCAAATCCATTATGACAATCAGTGATAGAATACAATAGAAACTCTACCTGGAATTGTAACTGAAGACTAGAAAAATCCTTCTTTAGCACAGAGTTTGCTTTTAAATCTCTCACTGTCATCCAGACAGAAATTCAAAAGCTTTCTCTTTTCTTCTAACATAAGTACCTGTGCCACATAAATAATGATGAGCTTATAGATGTGACTGATGAACTTCCAGCTACTAGACTAATGAGCAGGATGTCTGGAGTTCATCAGAGGTCTAACAAAGGTCCATACAAATCATCTGTGGAGGAGGATGTGCAGTAAGGACATGTCCAAAAATGTATTTAAAGCTATACAGCATGAACTGAACACATGATGCTACTAGTGACTAGTGCTTACATACATGCTTGCCATATGGATAGCATAAGTAGGTAAAGGACTTTTTGGTTTCTTCACCTAAATAGTTATATAAATATATGTATACAAATGTATTTTTATTGTATAAATAATATATTAAATATAGTTGTACAAAATATATACAATATAGAGATATAAACAGTATATATAATATATAGGAGAACAAAAACTTGGATTCAGGCTTCTGAGAGTTAAACGCAACTGTGTTACCAGCTGATGAGCACCAGAACAATGTTACATGTACTAGTTGCTATTTTGCCTTAATAAAGAAACATGACCTACAAATTTTGTGCTTAGGCAAGTTCTGTGGTTGAAAAAGATCAATGCAGCTAGTCCCTGAAAAAAGCGAGGTTAAAAACACACTCTGGAGCAACCATTTGTGATAGTGGGTCAATAGCTACACCCTCCAGTGGTAGCAATCAGTTGAAGTCTGTTGATTGCAAATAACGTCCAATTAAATAGAATGGCTAGCAGAACAAGCAGGTTCTTTTTAATTTTCTTTTTAGGACAAGTCACACCCTTTATTAGTACTCTCTCCTATTTGACAAGTTCAAAAATATATTGCTTCCAATGAGAATTTTCACAAAGAATAATACCTCCCAGAAATCTTAAAATGGGAAAACATTTGAAATTTCAGAATTTAAAATGTTCTGTGTATGAAATATTTTGTTTTTCTCACTTACTTATGAAAGAGGCAGATTCAGCTCTTTTTCATTTTTCTCGTAGACTATCATCAATGGAATACTAAGCGCTGATCCACTTTTAAGGATTTCCTATGACAAAATTTCTTCCAAAATATTTTTAACAGCATGCCATACAGGCATGCACATTGTCCTAAACAACTTAGGCATATTTGTAAGGACAGCCACAAGCTTTGTTATTTATTTTGCCTCAGCAAAAGACTCCTCTTCAATTTGTATCCTGAAACTTACTGACGAATATGCTATTTCAGCAACAGAGCAGACTTCAGCTGTCAAGTATTAGCCAATTACTGAAAATGTGTTCTTCTTTAACTCATCAACCCATTAATTTAACTTTCTATTAAGTAAGAATGGAACATTGTTTTATTAGGTAATCAATGTAATTTTCAATTAACTTACAGAATATGCAGGCATCAATGTCAGCAGCAAAAAATGAAGGATCAGTACACAGATGAATGGAAGTTTTGCATCACTCTTTTTATCCTATTTATTACAGAAATGCTTCCTCTTCTAAGACAAATGCATATACACAGATGATAACTAGAACATGAGTCAGCAGCGTGCCATTGCAGCAAAGACCAGTTGCATACTGGGCTGTTTTAGAAACAGCATAGCTAGCAGGTCAAGGGAAGTGATTATTCCCCTCTCTTTGGCACTTGTGAGACCTCATCTAGATTACTGTGTTTGGTTTTGACACTGTAGTACAAGCCACTGACATACTGGAGTAAGTCCAGTGAAGGGCTACCAAGATGATAAGGAGCTAGAGTGCATGACAAAGCAAGAAGAGGCTGCGAGAACTGGGTTTATTCAGTCTTGAGAAGGCTAAGAGGAGCCTACACCTACCTAATAGGAGGAATACAGAATGTGGAGACAGACTGTCCTTACTGGTAAGACTGTGCCTTACTGGCAAGTGACAATAGACACAAGAAGGAAAGCAGAAAATTCCAAAAAGATATAAAGAAAACCTTTTTAACCATAAGGGTGGTGAACTATTGGAACAGGTTGCCCAGAAAGGTTGCAGAATTTTACTTCAGAGAGATTGAAAACTTGTCTGGACAAGTCCCAGAGCAACCTGATCTAATTGTACTTGTTTTGAGCAGGGGGTTGGAATAAATACCTCCCAGAAATGCCTTCACCTAAATTATTCTACGATTCTATCCACGCTCCAAGGAGTACAAGATGCCATGTAAATATAGTGGAAAAAAAATCAGTAGTGGCTCTGTGTTTTAAGTTCTAATCAAATTTCCTTTATAAATCCTACTTATTAATTCATCTAACTTTGGCGGAACTATTAGCCTGAAAATTCTTGTGCTTAATCCAGACTATGATATTTTAAAGATGACATATTCATTCCTGAGTTTCAAGGTAGTTAAGTGCTACTATACATGCAATTCCTTCACAGAAAGGACAATTTCTGTTAACTTTCTTCAGGAAGCCTTTTCTCCACTAAAATTTCCTGCAGTGGTCATTACTACTAGAACTGGTAGGATAGTAAGACATGCTATAAATGAACAATGGTCTTTGCCACTGCATTTTCTCATTTAGGAAGATAAAGCAAGCCTAAACAACATGGAATCCAATTTACACAGATTGGGAGAACATATATATTTGCAGAATAGAACAAAAATGATCATTCCTTTCTAAGAAGAAATGAGTGTGCTGGTGGAAATGATGAAAAAGATTAATAAAAGACATTATACACATCACTACCAGGTATAAATAAGATCACTGAAATAATGATTTTGGTTGATTTATCATGGAAGATATATGAAATAAAAGCACTTTTTAGGTAAATAATTTTTACAAATAAACTATAGAAAATTCCATAGAAAAATGTAAGAAGTGTTTTAATAGTACACCCACCTGGTTTTGTCAGTCGGAGGAGATTTGATTCCAGAGCATTTAGATTTTCTGTTGCTTTTTCCATTGCAGCTAAATGGGATGTCTTTGCAGAAGTGGTCTGAAATACCCAATACTTAGTTATGAAAACTTAGCTTTTACATGACTAAAACCAGCAGGTCAATGGTGGAGTTTCGGTTAGATCCCAAGTTTTCTCATTCTATAGCTGATCATTTCATCAATATTGTCTTATTTTTCAAGTGAAATAAAATTGACATTCATAAATTTTTTAGTATGGCTTCAAAAACCTGGCCATGATTCATTCTTGATTGATCTCCCAGGGAGTGAGTGGAGTTGGTCTGCCACCAAATAAATTTTTAGGGAAGTCCCACGTACTACTACAACAACACATTTGAACAGATTGACAAAATATGTTGTTTTCCAGAAAAAATAATCTTTTGTAGGTTATTTGCTGACTACAGAAAGCAACATCTTCCTTTGGAAAGAAACTTCTTTTTTTTCACTTTGGTGAAAATGTAATTTTCAGTCAGCCCTACCTGGATCAAGATATTATATTGTTCCTATGAACTTAGATTCCTTTCTCTTTGCTGGTATGAACCTGGGAGCAGCTAACACAAACTCAGCAATAAACAATGGAGAAAATTTTGTCCTGGATCCTATCAGTGTCCTACAAATTTTCTTACAGAAATCCTTCCCTGTAAGCTGATTGACTCTTTGTCCCTCTCTTTAATATATGTTTCATGCTCACACTGCTTCCTTTCTTCCTCTCTCATTCTTCCTACTTTCTTACACCTTTTTCAAATCGCCTCTCCAGTAAAATCTTTTCTAAAATTATTTAAAGGAAAAACAGACAGAAAAGTATGGAGAATCAACACTTTGTTTCTACGTTGCAGGAAATCCTCACAACCTGCTGCATCTCTTTGTAATTTAAGTATTAAGGTCTTTGAGGTTGAAAGTTCTTCCTCCATTGAGAAGTATTTTTCAGTCTATGCAAATTAATTTCCTAATTAATTTCCTAATAAATTTCCTAAATTAATGTCTTATTATGACTCAGTTTCAAGCAGCTGCTACAGAAAATGAGAGGCTAAGTTTCTACATCATTTAGGATATTTTTGCTCTTTTTCACTGATACAGTTCTTTAATTTTTTTTTCTGTCTAATAAAGCATTCCTGGAAACTATATGTGAAGATCAGTTAGGGATGCTTGTATAAATATCTGCAGGATCCTCATGGCTCTGAACTGTAATATTGCTAACCCCCTCTCCAGTTCAACAAGATGAGACCTTGTGCCCACTGCAGTCTGCAACTGGTCTTCACAAAGATGGCTACAATTAAATAGAAGCCTCTCAGCTGTACTTTGGGAACTCTTATTCTACAAGGAAACTCTTATTCCATACAATCACTTCTAAAACAAAAAGTTAATAAATGCAGTCTTCAAAGTAATAGAATACAGTATTTAGAGAAAAGAAAAAGTAAAAATCAGAGCAATTACTTTAACCTCTTTGTTAGTGTGTGTTTCTTCAGTTTTCACAGCTCCTGACAGGCAGGGTGAGGTTGTTGGAGAGGAATCCAACAATTTTTTCCCGTAGTTAACAATAATTACTGCTAGTTCATATTCTTTCCATGAACGTAGTACCTATTAAAGAATTACCTGTTATATATTTTTGTTTTGCATAACATGTAATGTTTCATTATTGTCTACTTATAATTGTCAAAATGCATGAATATTATAAATAGAAATTAATTACTCAATATTTAGGTTTCGTTTCATAAAAAAACAGGGCTATGGACCTGTAAAATAATTGAAATTGCAGATATGTTATCTATGTGTTCTACTTTTGCTTAACCTACCCCTCAGAGAATAAAAAAATTTAACCAGAAGTATCTATTGCTGTGATTGACATTCTCCCTGTTCTCAGAAAGTACTGCTATCAAAGAATATAAAGGGTAACTAAATGATCCTTGTTTACCTCACTGGTATCAAGTGCACATTTGAAAATCCCAGCTGTATTGGTGATAGGAGTGGTGAAATTTATTTTTAAAATTACGAAATTTATAAATGAACAGTGTAGGAAATGTTTTTAGATGGCTTTATCTTCTTTAGATAGAGCTCTAAAGGCCAAAGTGCTTCTACTATATGCAAGGTAACTTCATGTTAGGATGTTTGTCTTTGGGGTACAAAATTAGTGTATAGATTACTTTAGGATAAATACAGGCCTGACTGTAACTCAACAGACAACCATATACCATGGATTAATCAGAAGCACTTGCAATTCACTCATTCTGTTTGCTATTCTGTATGCTATTCTGTTGAAACGCTATCTCTAAGGAAAAAAAAAATCAGCAGTACAAGCAGACAGTCATTTAGCTGGAATCCAACAACAAACACACACTATATCAAGGTTTCAGGGTTCCTAATAGGCTTTATTGGCCTTGATAGCCTCCACCTGGGCCCTCCCTGCAGGGGGCCAGGAGGTCCCTTTCAGCTCAGGACTGAGCCTACAGTCCCTGCCAGCTCCCATGTGGCAGGGATGCTGGTCTCCAGCATGCTCCAAGCCATGCCTGGGTGTGGAAATGGATCCACTGGTCTGGACACCTGATCCATGGACTGACTCCTCAGCTTGACTTCAGACTGCTCCCATCACGACGGACTGGCCTGCTGGGCTGTGTCTGATCCTATCTACCCTCACCAGACCTGATCCTGACCTGCGGATTGACTTCCCAGCTTCAGCTCAGACCTGCATCTTCACCACAAACTCACCCAATGATCTGGACTCCTGATTGAACCTGACTGCCAAGTGTTGCCCTGCCAGCCATGGCGTTGCCCTTGGCTCCTGGCTCCCCAGCCCTCGCCGTGCCCTGACACTGCCCTCACAGCCATGAAATAATTAAGATGACAAAAATTACAACACTAAGGCTTAAAATTCTTGTCTTTATAGAAAGAATGAAAACTGGATCTTCTTGCAGTACGCTTTTAAGGATATTTGACACTGATCTGGTCTTGTGAGGTGAGCACAGAGATCCTATAAATACCGGGGTGAGGGATCACCAACGCAAGGGAATCCCTCAAAGCATCAGCCACAGCTCAGCTTCAGTATGAGCTCTTAGCTGAGGTGTACTCAAAGATAGAGGAAAGCTGACTTTTTCAGCATCATACATTTATCATGACGGGTACTTTAACTCTATCTCTATACCTGAGGAAAAAAGTCCTACCAGTACCTGAATCATAGATGTGATCTACAGATACGTGTTATGGTTAAAAGTCAAGGTGCTTATGTTCCTGTCAGCGTGTGGGACTAAATAGTATAAAGTCTCTTGTATCTAATTAGCAAATAAGCCAGATATGCTAATCTGATTAAAACTACAAATATGGGCTATTTGCAGTAAATAAACTTTTAAATTTATGTATTACATATAAGCCTTACTGAAAATAGTACTACCTTAAATGTAAAAATACACACAATGATATAAAATACAGATTTCGTATCATAGACTAATAGTTACAGTCTATTTTCTGAACAAATGAAAATTCTCAATTCTCTTAAAAAGTCAAAATGTCATTATTACATAAAATGCACTGATACAAAGATACTAATAAATATTTCTATACCTTTACTATTTAAGAGTGCCAGTTCTCTAACATATCACTCTGAAGGCCAGCTTACTAAATCTTTTTTTTTCTCTAAATGACAAGAGCTATATCTTAAACTAAGCTGTAAGCACAATAATACACAGATACCTTTGCTGTATAAAATGAAGTACAAGCTATCATATGCTGAATACTCTCATAACATCCTGCCTGCCTCGTCTGCAGAGTAGCACTTGGAATTTCTTGAAGGACAGCCAAGCACTTAATGAGGATCTGCAAATACAAGGGTTAAAACAAAGTTTGGAGTCTGCAACACACTTACAAGCTTGTACCTCTGTACAGCCTATTGTATTTCAATTTCACTTTAAAAATACTTTGAAATCTAATGGATAGGATGAAATGCTAGCTCTACAAAAGCCAATAATAAAATTTCCATTGAATTTAACGGTGTCAAGATTTCAACCACAGCCCTTTGGAATAAATGACATGTTCACATAAAATCACAGATATTAAATTACAGATACATATGGATATTTTTGCTGATTTAATTAACATGAAATCAAAGAGTGCTTAATTCAGTGAGATGACATACTCCTAGTAGAGGACTGCTTAAAAATCTACCAAGCTGGTCAGAATTTAAATGAAAGAAAAGTTTCCAGTATGCTCTAAAAATAAAAGACTTCTTTCCCCCATTTTTGTCTATCAGACATGAAAAGAACATGCGACTAAATTATTTTTCCTTTTAATTAGGAAATCTGAAACAGGAGCCATTTCCAGTGGCTAGCTGTGCCTTTAGCAGGTCATGACAGCCAACAACTTCTTAAGCAAGAGGCTATCCCTGTATGTAAATAGATTTATTTTTTTTTTCTAAACACTCCTAAAAACTTCTCAGGGCCCTGAGCGCCCCAATAGTCATTCCCTGAGCAGCCTCACTTGGAGCCTCCTGTCACACCTTCTGCCCAGGGGCCCAGGAGTCCCAATTAAGCTCAGACACAAGCCTTCAGTCCCTGCTTGAGCTATGGTATTGGTGTACTGGTCTTCAGTTCTGTCTCCTGGATGGACCTTGGACCTGTGTTGTAGCCTTGTCTCCAGTCTCTGGCTCCAACTCCTGCAGCTCCTGACTTTTTCTCCTGGATGGACCCTGGGCCAGCCCAATAACTTCACCTTCTCTGGACTCTCAGTGGATCCTCTTACCAACACCCTGCTCTGTCTGCCACGTTCAGATGCTGCTAGTCTGTGCCTTGCCTGCACCACAGTCACCTCTTCCTTCCTCATAAAGCAAACATGCTCTTACTCCTGCTCCCTGACAAAACTACCTAATTATGGGAGAAAAGTTGCATGTTTCTACTGTATCCTTGCTGAATCTAAAAAACACATCTGCTGCTTCAGAAATGGCAGGAAAGGATTCAGGTACTCTGTTTTCAAAGAGAAGGTGCTTGCTTCTGGAAAGGAGCACATGCCTGAAAACTAAAGACTGCATTATCAAAACATTGAATAGCCTTCTTTTTTTAGTAGAAAAGAAAACTATATATGAAGCAAAAATTTTAAAAAGAAGGCATAGGCAAATGCTGCTCTGCATACCATTCAAGTAGAAGTTACATCGTAGATTCTACTGCAGTTTAAAAATACCAACAAATCATCCTGAAGAAACAATCAGTATTCTGCAGTTACTTTAGCATATCTGAGAGCAGAATCTGTGCAGCTTACACTGAACATATATGCATTAGGAACACATAAAACCATAAAAAGTTTTTCTTTCAGCAAGTACTAAGAACTCAAAGCCTAGATATTTAGCTCTCCCACTGTACGCTCCATTATAAGTTTAATTTGCATCACTGTAACTGCAGGACTTAGATGCCAGCTGCTTTGTTTTAAAATGCTCTCACCTGAACTACTGGCACTGAAGAAATCTTGTGATAAATAATTGGAGCAAGGAGACCATAACATTGTACAACAGACTGCAGGGTGTAACTTGCATCATTCAACCAATTGCTAAGTTCAGTTGCCACAGTCATTCTTTCACATTCTGCTAATCTAGCAACCTGTAAAAGAAAATTCATTCACATTTTGATTCAAATATGAATTCTGTTGTTTTAAATCATTTGAGAGTGAAAGACGGATGTTACTGCAGTTTACAAAGCAGTGTAAGCAGCAAGTAAGATAAGTTTAAAAATGAATTGTTAGAAGCATTTAAACTACCTGTTAGAAGTATATAAACAAATATAAGAAGTACATAAACTACCTGTTAGAAGTATATAAACAAATGCAACATTATTCATGATTCTAAAGGAAACAATTGTTCTTGACCTAATTGTGCCCTCTGAATTTGCCCATATAATGTACAAAGCCTGGTTAACAATCTCAGCCTGTGTGGAGTGGAAATTTCACATGCTAACCCCTCAGAGTAGGTAAGGAGAGGATAACAATTCCTTCCTTTCCCTTCCAGTTATCTGCTGCAGTCCTTGCATGGGTGAGCAGATCCAGTAAAGTCACTGAGTAATCGACTGCTCACATTTTTACGAGACAGGTACTTCAGCAAAGGAAGAGTGGAATAGGAATGTAATAATACAGGAGGCAAAGCTTGACTATTCAAATAAAAAAGAAAGTTTTCTGTGTCATTAACATGCCATTATACTATAAGAAAGTCTGAAATAAAAGAAACTTAGTATATTAAAACCATGAAACCCTGTTAGAAGTTCAATATTAATGAAAATATATGTATTAAATAGCAGAAATGTTTAAAATTAAAAATCCAAGGTGCATCTTAGTAGGACAAAAATAACAATGATTATACCTCTTTCTTAAATTATAGTCTACAACCACTGAAGTCAAGGAAAATCCTCCCTCAGTTGGAATCAGAGGGCTTTGGATTAGGCAATAACTGATTCAGAAACCATCTTTCCACCAGGATACAAAATAACCAACAGCTACTAAAATACTTCAGAAAGGAAGACCAGATAACTCACAGAAAATGAAGTATTCTGTAAATAGGATTAGTACATTGCAATGTTTATCTTGCAATGATGAAATAAAGCTGATCAAAAAGTAAAATCAAATCCAGTATATGATTTTAAGCCACACATACTTGTTCCTTATAAAGTATCTCATTGGAACAGATGGAATCACAGAAGAGTGCTCCTTCCATGACATTAATGTCACAGACAGCAAACATATTCCTCAGAAAGAGGCGCAAGGTAATAGGAGAAGTCTGAGATACAGCTTCAAAACGTAACCTACAAAATAAAAAAGCAAAAGAATGGTAAAAGCATGTTAATGATGATTCAGATATTGCATGTCTGAAACCGCATTATATTAAAATGCAGTCTTTAATTTTAAAATGATGGACAAAAAGGATAAGTGTAGCTACTTCTGGAAATAAGATTTATACATAAAACTGAAAAAATTGCTTAAAATTTCTACCATAAAAAAGGGATAAGGCTCCTTTTCAAATTGTTGTCCACCTTCTACTATCCTAAGACAGCTCTTCCTTAGTGGTTTCATCTAATCCAGTGACACTTACTTTGAACTTTCTTTGAAAACTTGGGATGCTACAGCTTGTTTATTTTAACTGTCTCCTTTTACACATTATTTTTCTGTATTCTGACAATGATGCATGCAGTTGTGAAGTCCATTACTACGTATTAGTAACAAACTCCTTTTCATCACTGACATATTGTATTACAAGTCTGAAAAGAATCTCTTTTCCTCTGCCTGCTTTTTTGTTGCTTTTTTTTTTTTTTTCCGGGGGGCAGGGGGGCATTTATCCTTGTTATATTTTTTAAAATATGTTTTTACAGGAAAAATACTATGTTTTTGAAGTATAAGAAATAAATATCTCCTTCTCCTCGACTGTATTTCCTAAAAGAGACTGAAACTCAAGAAGGAAGATCAAATAGACACATTCACGTACTTGACATTACCAAGATATCAACAGGGCTTCTAGCTGGAAACAAGAGGTTTCCTTTCCTTCCAGCTCCCTCTACTGTCTCTTTAAGCCCTATGTACTTTCAAGCTAGTCCATCCAATTTCTTAGTTACCAATCAGTAAAACTGAATCTGCCTTATTTCAGGTCTGATACTGCAGCTTTGAGAATCTCTCATATTAATTAAAAAAAAAAAAAAAAAGGGCTTGGACATAACTGTCAGGAAAGCAAAATCCCTAAAACTGTTTCGCATAGCTATTTAAAATTTGCTTTATCTGAAAGTAGCTTCATTCAAATGTTATCTCTAGAGCTGTATGTGTTTTAAAAAAAAGAACTGATTAGGAAAAAAGATTAATGAAAAACAAGCACAAAAAAAGGTACAATGACCAGACTTGTATTCCTGCTTTGTTGCCTAGGCCAGGGATAGATTTAAAACATCCACATAATCATGAAATAGGATGTCTAGTGATTATCTGCCTGCATCAATGCAGTTCACAGGCTGCCTGTAAATCCCATATGCTCTTATGGCATGTAACATCAAGACCTTTGGTCAATTTGTATGCCTAGTATCAGACACATGGTGGCACTTGAAGGACAGACAGGATACACACCAGTGGTCTGGCTGAGCCCCAAATAACAAGTATGCTTAGACACATTACTTTCTCCTGTAACAGGATTCAAAGCACACACAAGCCTACACTATCTGCTTGCATCCAAACAGCATTACCATGAGAAAACTGCGGGCTCTGATGCGATTGTGTCAAAACAATACAGAGAAAACGGAGAAAACGCTAGCTACGTTATACGTCTCACAATAGCCGATAACCAGTTATTCTGTCTGTAAAGTGGAAATGGAAGTATTCTTTTAGTAAATCCCCTAATATCTATTTCTTGAAACAAAGATCTTTATTTGTTTATTTCTTCTTAACACACCTGCAATAAGGTTGCTTCTTGTCATTATGGTTTCAAGACTAAGCCAGTCTGTCAAACTGAAACGAAGATGCTGCAAAACTTTTTCATACCTCCTCCACAAGTTTGCCAAAACTTTCCTAATGAAAGAATTAGTCTAAAAAGAATTCCACACAAGTGAAGATGATGATTTATGTTCAGTTATATTGGATGTTAATTCATTATCAAATTATAAATATATATATATTATATAATATATATATATGTTATATAATTATATTCATTATATAATATAAAATACTATTATTATAGTATTTTATTATAGTATTTCATGTCTATTATTTCATACAAGTCTCTTTTTTTAATCTGGAATTAATTAAGTTTTGATTTATTTTTGCATTTGGATATATTGAATTTCAGTGAACGTAACTGCAAAATTTCTAGCTGGGCTTTGTCATCATGAAAAACCTGTAATACTGTGGTTGAACATTTGAAATTTATTTAAAAATGAATTAATTTTAAATATCTCTCCTAAAAGACTTTAGTATATTCAAAGATTATTGACAGATTTATATAGCCACCCGAAAACAAAATTAGCAAGCATTTGCCCAATTTGGGTGGTGTTCTTGACAAAATTTTTACAATTTCTGAACTCTACTGCTCCCTTAGTTGGAAGGTCAAGAACCTAGTGCATATTACATATTTTGCATATGAAAATGCATCACACAGAATTAACAGCCACTCTATAAATGTTTCCCAATTATCTTAAGAAAACAATCATTATAAAGAATTAGGTGTGTAAATGCCAGCAGTTCCATAAATAACAAATATCCTCTGCTAATTATAAAACATTATATTTTTATAACACATTTCACACCTTTTTTTTCAGACTGTTTTTCATAATGCAAGTCTGAACAAAATTTCACAACCTGGTACTCTTTAAAATAAAATGTGTACATCTATAATTAACTATTATTTTAATTTTGTTTTCACCACATACCTGTTTTCAGATACAGTCAAATTACTACTTGCAGAAATAACAGCTGCATTGGCAGGCAGTGGAGAAGAATTTGAAACAAAATAATCCCACATTGGTGAAAACGCTTCTCTGGCTAATGTGTAATTGCCAGTCTGATAGGCTACCTACAAAAAAAACCACCAACAACAACAAACTTAGCAAGTTTCCATGTTCATCAAATAACCAAGTCAAATATGATTCTAGTATAAAGAAAGGTTTTAAAACTCCCCCCCAAAATGTAAATTTACAATTTCTCTAAGAATATTCTGACATATTCAAATAAAACACATGTAGTAGCAAGCTGATTCTACTAACATTAGTTTTCTTTCAGAATTAGCATCAGAGAAGGCAAAAGAGTTTCTTGACTGCTAATCAAGGATCTAACAGGCCTTTGTGGAATGCTTTACAGGTATTGTGCTGCAGTTTTTGAAGGCGTATTATTTCATCTAGGTTCATTTTACTTTTGCTAATACGGTAGAATGCCCTGCTGCTCTGGATAATGGGATGTAAACAGAGCCACACAAGTAGGCATAAATTCATGCGGATATCTCTTACTCCAGAAGATTTTAGGAAATCTTCTAACTATTCCCCATGATCTGATCTACAGGGCTGGATAATTTCACTTTTCTCCATGCCACAATCTGTTTTAAGTTTTCTTTATTAAGAATACAGAAAATTATGATAAAGGTCTGACAGAGTCTTTGTGGTCTTCCACAAGACACTACAAAAATAATTTCAATATGAAAATGGTTGGATTTGATACCTGGTAAGTTCAATCACATCTTTCATCCCATACTGTAATGACTAATAAGATGATACCTAGCACTTGGTCTCAATCACAAAAATGAAAAAATAAATGATAAAAAAGAAGAAAAAAGTTAAATGCAGACTGAAAAACAGGAACAGGGATAAGAAAACTAGCTGAGACACATATTTCCCATAAACCTGGAATTTGAATTAAGAATTGAGTTACTCAAATATACAGTTTGTTATGTTAAAATTGTGATTTGTGCTTATCAAGCTTTTGGCAAGAAAGTCTTGATTTTTTACCAGAAGAAGTTTTAGAGCTACCAGTGAAAACAAATAATTGCAACCAAATTAAAGTAGGTGTTTATTATCAAAAACTCTAACCCTACCTGAGTTAGGTAGGCTCGAACAGTAGTAGCTGAAAGAGGTGGATAAGCAAGGATTGGCTTAGTCGTTTCCCCAATGGCATCACCAATAAGTTTTCCATCAGAAGAATATGCTGCGACTGCAAATATGTATTTCTCATTGGGATCTAAGCCTTGTATTTCCAAAAGGCTTTTCCCATCAGCTGGTATCTATCAATAAAAATATTTTCTAGTTACACCCACTGTACATATCAAAAACAAATCTCAAATTCTAAACTTTTACTGTTAAATCAATTATTTAATGGATACAATCAAAATACAACCTAGATTAACAGACATGTCATGTTTCCACATAATATTAGGTTCTTGAAGACAATGAGAAAACAATTAAAGGACAGGGAAAAAAAGTATCAGTTGTCTCTGGAATGCAGTTGAGTATACAGAGAACATAACAGTTAAGTACCAGGACCTGAAGTTTCTCTAAGATATTTTTACTCATTTGCACATTCATATTGTGAGTGTGATTGCAGTCATTGAGCTGGAAACATTCTAGCCCTGAGCTGTGCTTCCAGAGAAAGAGCATATGGTTTTCCTCCATACATGCCACATGCATGTATTAGATATGGGCAGAGGATGTCTCAGGTCCTCTCAGCACCATTAACAGGACTTCGGAGTTTGTAAAACAAACAACATATTTTCAAGATCTTATCTTCATTTTTCCTTCAAGTAATTGTCCACCTGCAGTTCAACATCATGGCGCACTCCTAACAGGCTTGTCCACCTTCCCCTCCATAATCAGGACAACTTTACACGAAGAAAAGTTTTAGGGTCTTGAAACAACAAACAACTGACACAGTGACTGAAGCACAACATGAGAAACAAGATTGTCGTAATGTAGCATCAACACAGCGCTCTTATTTGAATACTGTCTGGCCTTCATAAGGAGATCTCTGAACAACAGAAATCCCTTCAAATGCTGGGGCTGAATCCTGAACCAGAAATTAGTGTAAGACAGTCTGTAGTCAGTAGTATCCCTTTAGAGCAAGCTTTTCTCATGTTAATAAGTTGATAGATCATTCCACCACCAAGAAGTCTAAACCTTTTCCATGGAACAGGCAGATAGTGACTTTGTCTGCAGATCAGCATTTTGCAAAAGCATATCCTAAAGCAACCAGAAGTTCCATTGCTGAGGCGTATGGTTAACCTCAGGTCTGTGCCTCTCTAACGCCTGCCAGAGCTACGACAGTCAGTGGCTTGGATGGAAAGAACAGCTAGCAGTGGGGTGAAAGTCTCCAGTGAAACATTTAATTCACCTGGAGCAGGATAGTGCATTGAAACTAGCTCACTGGACATCGCAGGAAGCTTGACTCTCTGGATTTGATAATAAGAATATGAAGAATAACATCAAAGCCTCTGTTGCCAGTAGCTACACACACCTTCTCTTTTTATACACCTTCCTTTTGGGGGAGGAGATGGGGGAACAGGTGCAAAGGGAAAGATTTCCTCTCCATCACCAAAGACAAGTCTATCAGTGTTAGTATACAGCTTGCTTACAAAACCAGGAAAGCTTGAAACATTGGGCAAAAGATGTTGAGATCATTCTTCTGTCACAATGCAAAACAGAGACCTGCCCTGCAAAGAACAGAACTCTTCATGAAAAAGATTTTCAGATATAAAAATGATCACTCAGGTCTGAGACTACAGTAAAATTTGCTGAAGAGGATGTGCTGAAGCTTTTTTGCCCCTTTTTTAAAACCCACAATGCAGAGCATTTGGATGGATCATGGTCGTCATTCAGGTGGACAATACAATACTATGCATAAGTCAGTGAAAAAAAGAACTCTCTCAGTCTGTGCAGGAACATCAGAGTGTGATCCAAAGCAAAAAAACTACACTGACACAAAACAAAAAACGCAAAACAAATTCAGAAAATAAAACATCAAGTTGTAATGAAGAAATAATACAAAAGAGTACGGACACAGTCACATGATCAGTCATAAGTAATTGGCATGATTTGTCATACCACATGTTCACAGCATGAAAGG